TCCCTACACGAATAATAGCTGTCCCCAATTCATCGGTAAGTAGTCGAAGTTCACACTGGTCATGTAATTTTGTGACGGTTATTTTTCGGTCTTTCTCTCCTCTCAAATGATTCTGCTTGTAAGCTTTAAACTGGTGAGCATATCTGTTTTATTCGTTACCAGCCTAGTTAAATGGAACATATGTTAACTAACTTGATTTAATTTCGCGCGCAGAGACCGAGTCTTATCGTTGAGGGGCCTCTGGACTGAGTCCACACTAATTACAAAAATCGGAACACTTCAGACCATACATCATACTTTGTTCCTAATCACTAACGGACAGTACTACAGCACACTTTTGAACAAATTCTGCAGGATTTCCCCTCCCAAATTCCTCTATATATGCAGGATTGTTATTCAACGGAATTGATAATCCTGTTCGCAATATGCACATGCCTTTTCTATAATATTGCGCATATATTTTCTACGTTTTTTGCGACACAGTCCAATAATCGAATAGTGAAGTAAATCAACCGTAACTTTTTCATTGTATAGTATGGCTCGAGGCGTCATCACATTTTCCTTCCGATCCGTGGACTTGATCGTCGGAGCAAAACGAAAAGATTGCGAAAAAATCGATTGGTTTGGGAATCGATGGTATCGTTTGTGGTACAGCCAAACGGCTTTTTATCTAGTGGAAACCGCCGCAAACCATACTAGATCCCCCCAGGCAACTTCGATCCCTGTGAATTTTCCTCCCGAATCGTATCAGTGATAACCTAGGCCACCTGGGTTTTTGCTTAGCATCCTGTCAAAATCTCACTCCTAACCAGTTGGTGTATACAGTATCATTTTCCCTAGCTTCCTGTAACTGCGGCATCGAAAGATTTGCTTAATACGCCTTATTTTCAAACTGACTTGGTAATCTTTTCCAGCTTCGTATGGTTATTTTCTGGTTGGTTACGGGCCTCTGTTACTGATTCACTCTACAGGGCAGTTTTTATGTCCATCTTATGGTCCTTTCGGATCACGAACGTTAATTTGTTCAGCAGTGGTTTAGATCTGGTCACTTTCACTCCACTGCCTCTGCTGCGCACTCAGGTCTTCCGGTAGACCAAAAGTCTTCTTCAACTCGAACCCTGTAGGCCAACGTAGACAGTTGTGTTTTTGACGGCAAGAGCATTATTCACGCTGCATACCTCCTGTAAGATAACTTGGTCAAATTATTAAGATGGCGCGGTTAGAACCTAGAGTGTCTCAATATTCATTTAAGTTTTGTAATGGAAGGGGTTTCGTTAAGCCCAGGGTTTCATACCAGTGGTTGAAACCCTTGAGATACCCTAACCTGATTCAAATTTATCTTGAGACATTACCAAAATTCGCCAGGACGCCTCAACGTGAAAAACTATGAAGCATTGAGAAGGTCAGTGGCTGAGAGTCTGAGCGTCGCTCATGTCCAATGCATCTTCAACTTGATAGTCGATTCCATAAGTTGGGTTGACCCAACAGCATTTCGTATCCTATCAGCACGTCACATGATATATTCTACGCTCTGTGGGGATGAAATCCAATTCATCATAAATTGGGCAAACAGTCATTAAACGACACATATTCAGCTTGCATACTTACCTCACTTCACTTCAGTTTAGGTTTAAGTGCTTGAAGATGAGCAATTGAATAGATCTCTCGAAGGCTATCTATCTAAGCAATGACTGGTTAGGTTAGTAACCATCGCCATTAGTAGGAGCGCCAGTTTTCACCTGCGTTCAACTGTGCCAGTCTATTTGTATTTGTAGGTGAGTGCGAGATAGAAGAGACAAGGAGCTTGGACTTCGTTTTTACAACTTCAGAAGAAAACGAACACTCGGCACAGAATCGTGTTCTCCACAGTGGGGCCTGGTTTTCCTGCCCACAAATGTCTATTTGGGAAAGTGGGGGTCTTGGACGTAAATTTCGTATCGCGGTCAAAACTCGAGTGCGATTCATTTACAGTGTAGACCGATTTATCGGTTTCTCTTTGTTCGTCCACTTTTCACCCACAGGCTACCAGTATCCTATTTTTTATAGTTACGAGATGGCTGGGTTGTTACCACCAAGCGTCACTACGACTCTTCTCTTGATTTGGCAAATAACGCAACGTAAGAGATTCAGTTGAGTCTTCTGTTAAAACCAAAGTAATTCGCAAACCAATATATTTCACCGATGTTTACGTCTCTGTTTTTCTCCCAATTTTATTTTTTCGCCTTTGATGTAGACGCTACGATGGGTAGATTCAAACGCAAATTAACATTCTAATCACTATCGTTTGAACAGTCTTCTTCTTGTCCTGGTGTAATTAGTCTGGTCAGCCACATCAAAGGGGGGATCAGTGGACATGAGTTTTGCTCTCATCTGAGCTTATCCGTGGTGCATGTCCTTGATTGTGCCGGGATTTTAACTCCAAATATCTGATTTGCGGGGTAAGGTTGTTATCACTACTCTACCAGGGCATGTTGGACGTACCTGAATTATCACTTCCGAACAGGTCGATCCTTAAACGATGCGGTAGATTAGCCTGACGCCTCGAACGACGATCCTACAATCGATGACCAGTCTGGACTTCTCAGACAGACCTTCTAGACATTTTTTGACTAGTTGTAAGTGGTTCTGAAGTGAATGATTTAGGTGCTTTATATCCCGATGCCACTATGGACCCACCAGAAATAGTGCATTGGTATGGAAGGAGTGTCCACAGGGGAGTGAAATGGGTAAGTTCTACGAACTCTGTCACCACCTGCAACGAATGGAATTGTCTGACAGTCGCTGGTTTCGTTGACCTTTTTGCCATGCACTAGACTTTTGAGCTCACACTTTCTTAGATAGTAACTCGCTTCTTTTACTTTTGGTAGTGTAACCGATTTCAACGGGTTCGGTAATTGTTTCATCGGTAGAAATTCACTTGATTGTCTATTAAACCCACAAACAAGCCAGAAAGGCAAGCCTTGGTTGTATTCCCAGTCCTACGGCTGTTCGCCTGTCCGTCGTCACTGTCGAACAGCCTTCCCATACAAGGATTTCTCACTCCATTTTTCATACTGTATTTTCCATCTACATGCGTTTGCAGCTGGTTCATCCGAAAAAGGCGAGACGACAGAAACACTACACCAATTCCGGAGTGGTAAGTCATTCTGCACACCACGTGCATTGTTTTCATGTTTTTATGAGATAATCCCTCCACAGCTCCGATTCGTTTTTCAAGCATTCATCTGAAATCAACATGAAATGCGTTATTTCTGCTGGTAGTTTTACAATTGCTTTGTGTTGAGAACAAAAAGGGTTGCATTTGAGTACACATTTTTACTTCCTCAATGTTGACTGATTGTTTTGATGATTTTTCAGGGTGTAAACGTTGAAAACAGTTCTGTTTTCGCCCAGGCCTTCATCGTGTACGAAAATACTCTTCTGTATGACTGAATGCACCCATCGATCTGACATTATTGACATTTAGGGCAGCTTCTCATTGGTTACCGAAGATTGGCGGTGTGTTGCTTACCTTGTGCTTGAGCACTGGACCCACCAATACGGTTTGATTTTCAGGCAATAACTAAACGGCAACTTCCAATGATTTATGTAATCGCTGCTCGATGAGGCGATCGCTGATTTGAAGCAATGGCTTTCCTTTTTCTGTATTTGGATCTCTGTACAGCGACTACCCTGTTGCCCAACAAGCTGGCAAATGAAATTACCAAAACTTACTACTCGAGCGTGACGACGAACGGGCAACCTTCGTGTGCGTCACTAGGAAGTTTTGTTCGGTCGTCTCATGATAGCCAAATTTACCAATAAGTTTTAAACTACTGCGTGCCTTAGGCACCTCGTTTAGTCCGTTTTTTGCAAGACTAGTAACCATGTTGTCGAAAAACTGTCTCCGAGTTCACTGTAAAGGTCATGGATGGGTTTGGGAACGTATTCGTTTGTTTCATTTTGCATACCATATTCAATTCCCCAATTGTTCGCACCGGCGGTCAGCCTATTGCGTAACTGTTCAAATTGTCCCTTGAATTTGTACCTAAGTCCTTGTTTCGAAGCTGAAGTGTGAATCCCCGAATTCTGCAATACATCCCACGCACAACAGGATTGGTTTTCTCTCCCTGCTCAGCTTGAAGATTAACCAGGTTCAGTAACGTTGACTTAAGTTCTCTAACATCCTAGTTGCCAGCGCCTTCAGATACGACAAGTCTTTCATCACAGTGTAGATATCCCATAGTCAGGAAGCCCGTTGGTTGCCTTCGTTGTTGGCATCGTTTTTCAGAACATGTCAATTAAAACAAACCGTTTAGTTTTCGTTTAGTTTTCGATTTCAGGAAGACCATGAAGGTGAATAAAGGGTTGCAGCTCAAGACCCCTCACAATGATGACGCCATATTATAATATTATTGCTGGTTATCCTACTCATATCCGAGGACTCATTTGAACTGAATTGCGCTGGGGTTGCTCGGAAACTGTTTGGCCCGGATGCAGTAGGAATGCCAGTAATGCGTATGAACAAACAGACGGTTTGCCGGTTGACAGACAAAATTCATAATTCAGTATATTTGCAAAAATAACAGTCATCAACGTTCGTAATGCACTACTCATAAAGTTGCTGAAATTTCTTCGACAGCCCACGACCAGTTTCGCCCCTGTTGGGGCTCATCAGGTAGGCGCAGTCCCCGTATTTCCGTTAACCTTATGTTCTACTTGAAACCAAATTGCACGAAATTAGCGAATATACACTCATTTGCAAACAAATTTGGTTCAGCTGGGTTCTAGGTTAGTCTCTCGCAAAACCAAATTTGTTTGTGAGTGAGTGTATTTCCCCAGTCATCAATGTTGTTGACCAAGAATCTGTGGGCGGTTGGAGTGGTTCAAGGGACTGAGCTATTTGGAGCAATAGGGTACCAATAATGAGAACGAATCCGCAGTTACTAAGTTACCAACCAACGAACATCTGTGCTATCTAAAACGGGTTTGGCTTGATTGGCCGTGGGTCACAGTAGCCTCGAGGCTTTAAGCGTAGAAACACGGGATCAATAATAGTTGATGCGAGTGCATTGAGCTCTGAAATCGATTCATGTGTTGACAAACATAAGCTCTTTGTGAGTTGTCATTTTTTTATTATTACATCCTGAGAGTTGGATGGCGGCAAACGTTTTCATACCCAAAGATGGACATTTATTTAGATACTTAAGTTTCACATCGAGTGATTTTTACACTTCTTTCCGAACCGCCAGCTCCCAAGTAATCCATTTTACTAGTCTCAGCATACAGAATACAGACACCTTTTGATATGAGAAAGGCGTTTTCCAATAGAATTTTCCCTTTGGAATTTACTAACATGACTTTAACAGTCTAGCAGACCTCATACTAACCGGTAAGACATCTCTGGAGGAAATATACTTTCATTTAGGGAAAAAGAGATATGATGTATGGTTGTACAACACGGGCGAAGTATCTATTATGTGTCATTTCGAGCACAAACCGCAACGACCTCCACCTGACAAGTGCGGCCCCAAAATTTTAGGGCCCGCACTTATTTTTCTATTCATCAGGCACCATCCAATTAGGAAAGTTTGTCTTCACCAGCTTTTGATGGGTCATCTCCGAAACGAGCTCGAGGGAAGTGGAGAGGTTTACACACCGTGGTAGACTACATGGTTCTGTAGTCACCGGCACTTTCTCTACGTTTGTCTGTCAATTTTCTTGCTTTTCCCCACACCTTTCATTGCCATATCAAAAGGGTGCATGTTTGAACAACCTACTTGCGTGATGATGCTCCTTTGTCAAAACTAGATGTCAAACAGGTCTGCATAGAACAACTGAGCTTGCTAGCCCCTTTCGGTGGAATAAAACTGGCAGCTACCGACTGCCTAAATGACGGTTGCAGAAACTCCGGAAGGCTGAATATCCCTTTTTTTCACAATCATCACACCTCAAGCAGTTATCCCAGCTCTGTTTCATAAAACGCCCACCTTGGGTGTGCGTTGTGAGGCACCTTGGGTATGCGAGAGCGTAGCCCTGAGTAGAACAGCTGGCAACTTACGAGTCACGAGGACTACTGATGGACATTTACAATACCAGTACCGACAACCAACAGTCCAGAAAGTTGGTCCTATTCCACTATATTGATGTTGGAAACTGTAAATGAAGGTCGTGTACGCGAAACCCAATCGGTCGTGTGACGACCTTATCCATAGATCGTACATTCCACACTTAATATACACAATTTCTAGACCTTTTCGATCAGTTCTATGCCCATAGAGTAGACTTTCTTGTTCTAGCACTGTGATAGGGAGTGGGTAACCACGATCACGTGTGTCTCGGAGCTCTTACTGTTGATCCCAAGATGGGAGTTATGACCGTATATTAGGTCTGATAGAAGGTTAGACTCTCCTGCACCTCGGAGTGATGGTCACCCAGCTTCATCCTTGCGAAAATTGCTTTCAGTACTTGCCAAGGATGGGAATTCTCTGCCTCTCCGTACGATGGCCCGTTCATTGAGCTGAAACACAGCGGTCCGTTGATATCCATGAACTGGTTAATTTCTCGGCACTGGTAGGCATGCATACTTAGTTAAGTGATTTGGGGGCAACAAACGCCACGTTGGTTCCATATTCCGTGAACTCCATAAATTTGGTATGTTGTTGTGATAGTATCCTGCTGCCATTTCTTTAAAGCACTGGGGCACCCGGTAAGAAAAGCATCCTTATGTAGTCATGTGCTGATATGCAGCTGTTTCACATAATCTATTGGAATTACCTTCAGTCTTTGCTGTTTTAAGTTAGTTCATCATGCTGCCCGACTTGGTGATACCCAGCCTGCTGCTTTCGCTGTCGTACTATTTAATGAGGAGACAGCAATATTGAAACAATAAAAATGTGGAAAGAGATAGCCTGGTGCTTCCATGCCATATACGTTCCGATAGGTCTACACAACCCAATGTTCAATCGTACAACGTGGGTTTTCCGTCATATACTTTATTCTCCACCAGTCGAAGTGTCTCCAGGCAACAGTGTTAATAACTCATCAAAGTTAAGCTTTTCTGACGTACTTACCCGCATCATAACCGAACAGGACA